TCACTTTTGTGTTAAGTTGCCTGTCCCTGGAGATGTGTAAGATGGAAGAAAAACCGCTGACATCTGAGGAACAGATAGGGAGAAAGGACAGATGGACATTTCAGGAGGCTATTATAATGATTTTGTGTTGTTCCAATTTTGTTTCAGTTTCAGTTTTGTTAGGCATTATCTTGTTGGGTTGTATTATAGTAGAAATACGGGATCAGAAATTAGTAAAAAACAAACTGAAAGAGTGTTAAGTAAATTGTTAGAGGAAGGAGGCATCTCAGTAAAATCAAGAACAATCAGGGCATATGTTGATACAATACAAAAATGTAGCCCATGGCTTTTTAAGGAGGAGTTGTTAAATATATCACAATGGAACCATCATGGTGAAGATTTAAAAAGAATAGAAAAGAAAAGCCCAGGGACTCTGCCAGTTGGCACATTGCCATTGTGGACATTCGTATCTTGTTTGCTTAGTCCAAAGCCTTCAGTTCAGACAATGGTAGAGGAAGGAGAAGACATAATGATTCAAGTAAAAGAGAAGGTCTCTCAAGTTAGTCAGACAGAGGAAAAGATTCAAGTAAAAGAGAAGGCCTCTCAAGCTAGTCAGACAGAGAAAGAAAGTGTAAAACAGAAAAAGCCATCAGGGGGAAAGTTACAACAGGAGACTGCTACTAACACCTTTCTATCACCAGAGGGTGTAAGTGTCCAACCAACAGCACCACCTCTACAGGAGACTGCTACTAACACCTTTCTATCACCAGAGGGCGTAAGTGTCCAACTAACAGCGCCACCTCCATATGCTGGGAGGCCCCCAACCCCCGCAGTTGATAGTTGGGATCCTGAGACAAGGTCTCAAATATTAACATGCCCTGTATTTTGAGGCAGGAGGGCAGCGATTTTACCAAGTTTTAAATTTCAAAACAGTGAAGCAGCTAAAAGAGGCTGTAACAACCTATGGTCCTCAAGCACCCTTCACTGTAAGCTTGGTGGAATCCATTAACAACTTGAACATGACGCCAGCAGATTGGGCTAATATGTGTAAAGCTGTGCTAAATGGAGGACAATACCTGTTATGGAAGGTTGCCAATGAGGAATTTTGCAAGGAGACGGCTAGGCAAAATGCAGCAGCTGGTTATCCTCAGAGAAATCTAGATATGATGTTAGGAAAGGGACCTTATGAGGATCAGCAGCAACAAATTGCATATGATCCTGGCGTATACGCACAAATTGCTGCAGATGCAATTAAGGCATGGAAGACTTTACAAGGACATGGAGGTTTACAAGGTCAATTATCTAAGGTAATACAAGGAGCTAATGAACCTTATGCTGAATTTGTAGATAGGCTTATTCAAACAGCTACCAGAGTTTTTGGGAATACAGAACAAGCAATGCCATTACTAAAACACCTGGCTTATGAGCAAGCGAATCGTTGGTGCAGAGATATCATTAGACCATGGAAACATGAAGATTTAAACACATATATTAAATTATGTAGAGACATTAATGAACAAGAGCAAGTCGTGGCAGCTGCAGTCAAACAGGCTTTAGATGCCAGAGACATTAATGAACAAGGGCAAATTGTGGCAGCTGCAGTAAAACAGGCTTTAGATGCCAGGCCAAGAACATGCTACAATTGTGAACAAACAGGACATTTTAAAAGGAATTGCCCCATTGGAGGAGGGTTTAACAAAACTAGGTATCAAAGGAGTAGAATACCAGGTATTTGCCCACGATGCCGTAGAGGGAGACATTGGGCTAATGAATGCCGTTCTCAAACCACCATAGAGGGTACTCCATTATCAAAAAACGAACAAGGACCAGGTGTTTATCCACGATATTGTGGAGAAAGGCATCGGGCTCCATTGCCAAAAAACGGACAGGGGGGCCCAATGCTCCGGGGCCCCAAACCACAAATATACGGAGCACTGGAGGAACCCAGCAACCCCATCAGGGTAGTGCCCAGGACACATTGTCCATCAGATCCCTCATCAGACAAACCAGAGGGAGCGCAGGGTTGGACATCTGCGCCTCCGCCAGAGCAGTACTAACTCCAGAGATGGGAGTTCAAATCATTCCCACAGGGGTGAAAGGACCTCTTCCCAAAGGAACAGTAGGCTTATTATTGGGACGCAGCTCTTCTACTCTAAAAGGACTTATGATAAGTCCTGGGGTAATTGATCCCGATTATGAAGGTGAAATAAAAATTATAGCCAGTTCTCCAAAGGGTATATCAGTAATTTCACCAGGAGATAGAATAGCACAGTTACTAATAATACCCAGCCTACATGATAAATTTTCCAGTCGTACTGTAGAAAGAGGTTCCAAGGGATTAGGCTCCACAGGTGTAGATTGGGCTATGCTTTCTTTAAATTTAGATTCTCGCCCCATGCTAAAACTAAATATTCAAGGACATGAATTTAATGGGCTACTGGATACAGGTGCAGACCTTAGCATCATCTCTCGTCAAGAATGGCCAAAACATTGGCCATTACAACAAGCCACTCAAACGCTTCGAGGCCTAGGAGTGGCGACTAATCCCCATAGAAGTGCAATGGTATTAGATTGGAAGGATCCTGAAGGATGTGAAGGAACTATACAGCCATATGTATTGGATCATCTTCCCGTAAATTTATGGGGACGAGATGTCCTAGATCAATTAGGTTTGACATTAACAAATAACATCAACCAAAATGCACCCACTATTATGACTAGACAAGGTTTTAGGAAAGGAAAAAGATTCGAAAAACAAGAACAAGGTATAGCAGCACCAATACAAATAGATCAAGGGAGAGACAGACATGGGTTGGATTTTCAGAAAGGGCCACTGAGACAATAAAAATTACTTGGAAATCAGAAAGACCAGTATGGGTTCCTCAGTGGCCCCTGACTAAAGAAAAGATACAAGCAGCCCATGACCTGGTCAAACAACAATTAGCAGAAGGACATATACAACCTTCTGTATCTCCCCATAATACTCCCATTTTTGTCATCAAAAAGAAATCTGGTAAATGGAGATTATTGCAAGATTTAAGAGCCATTAATAATGAGATGGTTATTATGGGACCTGCTCAATCAGGGATTCCTCAGTTGTCTGCTTTGCCAAAAACCTGGTATGTTTTAGTTATAGATATTAAAGATTGTTTTTTTTTCAATTCCAATTCATCCTGAGGATAGTCCACGTTTTGCATTTACTATCCCTGCACTGAATCATGAAGGTCCTGATCAGAGATATGAATGGAAAGTACTCCCTCAAGGGATGGCTAACAGCCCAACTATGTGTCAAATTTATGTTAACAAAGTAATCCAGCCACTTAGAAATCAAAATCCTGAACTACAAATATTTCACTATATGGATGATGTATTATTAGCACACAAAGATAAAAACACATTGCCAGAATTCCTATCTTCATCCCAGTGCCGGTGAAGACAATGTAAATTGTTAAGAAAATTGTTTTCTTTTAGTGCCTTCTGGAATGTTACATAATTTTTTCTTTAGCCATTATTGCCAGAATTCCTATCTTCATCCCAGTGCCAGTGAAGACAAAGATAAAACCAATCTACAGCTTCTACAATAGCCATCACTGAACTGCTTGCAGAACTTGCCTGGACACTTTGTGAGCTCACCTGTATGCATTGTGAACTATCTGTTGGTACAGCGAATTGTGGTAGTGCTGGAGTATTTTTGCTGATGGTGTCACCGGTGGTACAATTTAGGAGCCCTCAATTGGCTTAATGTCATGGCATTTTGCATCCTCCTCTACTAGTGATGGTCTAAAATTTGGGGGCCAACAGAGGTGAGGCAAAGAACCTCACCCCCCCACTGGTGCAAAGGCCTATCCACAAGGATGGCTGTATGCTGGACCGGTAGTCAGTGACGGGCATGATCCAATTGCAGTGGTACCAACCTAAGACAGGAGGCTGACGCCTAGAGGTCAGTTCATCCGATGACGGGTAAGGGCCATATGTTGAATTGGACTGCCTAACAGGCACGGTCCCTAAGCCACATGCTTGTTGTTTAAACAGAGAGGGGGAGATGTTGAGAGCCACAGCCAAAGGGGCCCCAGCAAACTTCCAGCTGCCAGCAAACTTCCAGCTGCTGGCTGATGATTGGCTCACAGCGGCCCCAGCAACATCTAGCTGATTGGCTCCTCGGCCCCAGCAACATCTAGCTGATTGGCTCCTCTGCGGTGATGCTCATTGGACTGTTTCCCTGCCCTTTCAGACCACGGAGCTGCTCATTGGGGGACTTTTTTGGCTCCGCCCACGTGACCAGCCAATCGGCCTCAAGAGCAGGAGGATTGTGGGAGGTGGGGAGAAGCTTGTGTGGGAGAGAGAGGCTTGGGGAAAGCCGGTGGTGGCAGTTGAGGCTCTGAGGGTTTTATACTTTTAATAACTTTATACTTTTAATAACATTATACTTTTAATAACTTCTCCAGCAACAGAATACACACTGTATGCTGATACCTGTGCCTGAAAAGTGTTGAAATTATAAATCAATGACAACTAAATTTTGTCTTGGTACCGTGGATTGAACTGGGGAGCACTTAACCATTAAGCACATTCCTAGTCTTTTTTTTTTTTTTTTTGGTATTTATTTAGAGACAGGGTCTCACGGAGTTGCTTAGGTCCTGGCTAAGTTGCTGAGGCTGGCTTTGGACTCACGATACTCCTGCCTCAGCCTCCTGAGCCGCTGGGATTACAGGCGTGGGCCACTGATAACTAATTTTGTGTTCAGGGATCAGATTGGGCCCGTTTCGCTTTGGGTCGGAAGTTGTGGAATGGAGCTCTCCTGGAGACGAGGGAGGGGACTGCTGTGCTTGATACGTTGACATGCCCATGCCGAGGGGCCGCACAGAACACAACTTCAGGTCCACTGCTCCCGATGGCTGCCCACCCACCTCCTACCTTCTTCCCTCCCCAGCAGTCCCATGCCACCGGTGAACACTTGGGTGTTTTTGATTTGATTAAAAGTGATACTTAATTTTTCTTTTGTGCTTGTTTTTTAAACCTAGAAAACGCATCAGATGCAGATCTGTGGCTCCTGAACAGTTGCACTGTGAAGAACCCAGCTGAAGACCACTTTAGAAACTCCATTAAGTAGGTGAACTTGTTCTGTTTTACCTGTGGTGTTTTTTTTTTTTTTTTGATATTTTTTAGCTGTCAAAGAATCTTTGCTTTATATGTGGTATTGAGAATCGAACCCAGTGCCTCCCACATGCTAGGCGGGTGTTGTACCCCTGAGCTACATCCACAGCCTGATTTTCCTATTTTTAATAACTAGGGAAAGAGTTAAAATCAGTTAACTGGCCTTGAAAAGTTTCCGGGCATCAATATAAATAATTAGACGGTGTCAGCGTCCGAGTTGGGCTTGTCAGATTTACTGTTTTGAATTTGATGAAGAATGAAGCTTTCGTGGGGACCTTTCTGATGTGACGTAGGTGTTTGCGGAGTCACCCAACGGGTGGTGGAAGTGCATGGCTGTGGGTCCTGTGGTCCTCTTGGAACCCAGTGATTGTGTGGAGTCGCCAGGTCCGGGTCCTGCTGCTCTCCTAGGCCCTGCCTGCCAGCCCTGCTCCTCCCAGGGAGTGGCAGGGCGTGGGGCAGACGGGTGCAGAGGCCCTGCCTGTGCCATTCCCTCAGGAACGTGGCAGGGGCGCTCTATCTTCATCCCACCACCTCCTCGGATGCCTCTTCCCTACTTCAGCCTCTCCCATCCACCAGTGCCTTTCATCAGGGTTTCCACCACCCCCCAAGTGCCCCGGGGCCTGTGGGCCTGCCTTCCCGTTCAGACCTCCTCAGGTTCTCTGCTTCTTAACTTTACCCTCCTACTCCCTCTCCCCTCAGTGGCTTTACTATGAAATCTATTACACAGACACAGCTTAAAATAACACGCCACACCTGTGTGTAAACCACCCAGCATGAGAACTGTATCGTTTCAGAACCATAGAAACTGCCCTGTGTCCCTCTTTCAGCAACACCCCGAGAGTCGTCCTTCTCCTGCGTTCTGAGTCATTGCCTTCGATTGTCTTCCCAGTGTACCTCTAACCCCACTGCCGATCCCGTCTTGAACTTGATTCCATGGACACTCTTCTGAGATTTGCCTCTTTTCTTCACATTGTACTTTGTGGTTTATCCGTTTTGGTGGGTGTAAAATGACTCGGGCTGTTAGCAGCATTTCCTTGAATGAATTTGCCACTGTTTGTTTCTCCATTGTACCATCGACCTGGTTTTCATTTTCCCTGGTGTTTGCTTTTCCTCTCCTCCCTTCCCTTGTCCCTTCTTTGCTGGGGATTGAACCCAGGAACCCAGGAGCTTTCTACCTCTGAGCTACAGCCCCAGTCTTTTCTTTCTTTCTTTCTTTCTTGAGATAGGGTCTTGCTGAGGCTGACCTCAAACTGTATGATCCTCCTGCCTCAGCCTCCTGAGTCACTGGGATTGCATGCAGGTGCCACTGCTCTGGCCTGGTATTCCACTTTCCCGAACACTGCTGCCATTGAAACATTGCATCTGCACAAGAGTTGCTCTAGGCAGTGCACTGAGTCCTTGAACTGTTGGGTCACCGTGATGGATGTGTATGTTTGGTGTTCTCTGTTCTTGTTAATGATGACACAGTCAGGTTTCTAAAGTTTTGCAAATCTGACGAGGATGGTATCTCAGTGTGGTTTTAATTCGCATTTTCATTATCAGTAATGAGCTTGGGCATCTCTGTGTGTTGGCCATTTGGGTCTCCCCTTTTTTGTGAAGTGGCTTTGTAGGTATTTTGTCCATTTTCCTGTGAGTTTTTTCTTTATATTTTGTGGCAAAAATACATCATCCAGCATCCTGTGAGTCCCGAGACATTGCACATGGTGCAAGATGTCACGCGTTTCCAGTGGTGCTTTTCACTCTCGTCAGTGATTTCATTTGTTGAGAAGAAATGCTGGTTTAAAATTTGTTCATTCTTTTACCATACGATTTATTTTTATTTTCTTTAGTCATACATGAGAGCAGAATGCATTTTGATATGTAATACATACATGAAATGTACATACATCAATCATAATATCTATTCTATTCTGCCCTTCCTATCCCCCCTACTCCTCCCCTCCTCTCCCATCCTTTCTCTCTATCCAATCTAATGTGACACACTTTTTTTTTCTTTTTCTCATCACAACATCATACATGTATTCCGTATAACAATGAGGTTCCCCTTCCATCTTCTGTGCAACTCCCCTTCTCCCTCTTTTTCCCTCCCACCTCTCTTCCCTATTTAGTGATAGTCTTCTTCTCATGCTCTTCCTCCCTATCCCATTTTCAGTCACCCCCTTGTTGATTCTTTTGGTCTGTGTTCTTAACAAGTCCTTACCGTGAAGCTGCTAAGACATTCTCCTGCATTTTCTTCTTAAAAACGTTTCATGATTTTAACCCACATTGAGATCTGTACTATCTGGAATGGTTTTTTTCTGGTGTGGTCCTGGGAAGTGGTCCAGTTTTATTTTTTTCTTTATCCATACAGGGGCTCCAGTGTCAGTTTTGTAAATTACGCTTTTCCCTTTTACCCATGTATTACCCACTCTGACGAGTTGAGTGTCCGCAGTTGTGTGGGTCTGTCCCTGGGCTGTTTCGTTTCATTGACTGACTTCTTTATTCAGGTTCTTGTTCTCACAGTCCTAAGTGGTAGGAATCTGTATGAGGTCTAGGTGTTTGGTAGTGCTAGTGCCCTTATATGTGTCTTATCTTTCCCTGCTCTTTCCTTCCAGCAAACTTAATGTCGGTTTTTAAGTTCAACAGGGAATGCCATTGGGATTTTAATTGTGAAGACACTGAAGTTTTAGATGACTTGGAGATCTGAACCTTCAATTTTGTGTTTTCCCCTCCATGAGGAGGTACAGTTCCTGGTCACTTAATGATGATAGGTCTGAGAACTGTATGGTTAGGTCACTGCATCTTTGCAGGATCATCCTAGAGTGTACTTAACACTGCTCGGCTAAGGTGTCACCAAGTGCTGTCATCTCATGGGGACATTGCTATGTGGACATGTCTATATTTAGGTCTACTCTGACTTTCTAAGGATTTAAAAATTTTAAAATATTGCTCTTGTGCATCTTTTAGATCCATTGTAGTAGATACTGAATTGCTTCAGTATTATTTAAAAAGAAACATTCGTTCTTTTGACTTTGATCTGGATAGTACTTTAAATCTTTCTACTATTGTAAATGGTAAACTTATTATTATTTTGGTGATTCTGTGTTTGCTCCCTTGGACTCAGGATTGTTTCTAGAAACAATGTGAGGGATGCTTGGGTGTAAGGAATAGGGTAGATCAGTCCTGTTAGGCCTGGGCTGTCGTAGTTCAGGATCTGAGGGGAATTGGAGGAGGAGGAAGGATTTCTTGCACTTCTCAAGTTGAAGGTGACTCCAAGGTCTGTGGCTACAGTGCAGTAAGGAATTTCAGAAAGGCCGTTCAGCTGAGGGAGGACTTGTTTTGGTTTGGAACGTGCTGTATTTGTAATCAAGTGGAATATATTAACAGGATCATGACTGTGCTTGGCTCTTCTTGTGTTTTCCTGTGCGTGGCAGGCGCCGTTCCTTGCACTTTCATGAGTTGTGTATTATGTAGCATAATTCTTGCAGCTCGTCAGTGGTAGACTCCATTTTTAGTGTTGTTTTAGGGATGAAGTAACATCTGTCTGACAGATGAAGTTCTTTAAGGCTGCTCAGCTCATAAACGGTGGAGGTGGGATTTTAACCCAGGCAGTCTGACTATTGTGTGGGTTTAACCATTTTATTTTCTCCACAGATGAAGATGTCGCTAAACAGTTGTAGTCTTGAGGCAGCCATCAGTGAATTGGACAGATTTAAATCTGCAAAGAAGTGATGGCTGGGTACCATTCTTCCTGAGCTGTGGTGGGAGGCGAGGAGGTCGGTGGAGCAGGGAGGCCGGGTGATGCTGGGAGGCAGGAGAAGGGAGAGTTTCACTGGGGCAGAGACGGCATCCACTAGATGCTGTTCACTTTGGAGAATGCTTTTCTTACTTTTTCAAGTGAGAAGTCTTGCTATATTCTCAACTTATGTATTTTCCCCATAAGAAAGAACAATTAATATAGAGATATTTTATTGCTATTGCTACCCCCTAAGAATAGAACCCAGAGAATATTGTTTCCCATGTTTATTGTATAAGGTAGCTGGAGAGTATCTTCTAGACCATTTTTAAAAGTTTAAGTGTTCGCATATTTTGGGTTGGTTGTGTAGCATGTGTGAGCTGTGTCAGAAACGTGGTTCACAGTAATGACACGGTGGTTGAATGATTAAGGGAAGTAGGAATGACCTATGCAAAAAGCTTGCAATTAAAAAGAAAATTTGTAGTTGTAGATGGACAGCATGCCTTTATTTTTGTATGTGGTGCTAAGGATCGAACCCAGTACCTCACTTGTGCTAGGCAAGCGCTCTGCCACTGAGCCACGGCCCCAGCCCAAATGCTTGTAATTTTACTACTAGCCTAGTGGTGGCAGGAACAGGTTCCTTTGGTCTACTGTTCTGCTTGATTGAAAAATCAAAAAGAATTTTATTTTTTATTTTTTTTTTTAAAGAGAGAAAGAATTTTAATATTTATTTTTTAGTTTTTGGCGGACACAACATCTTTGTTTGTATGTGGTGCTGAGGATCGAACCCGGGCCGCACGCATGCCAGGCGAGCGCGTTACCGCTTGAGCCACATCCCCAGCCCTAAAAAGAATTTTATGTGTGATTAAGTATATTTTAGTGACTTTGAAGATTTTTGATCATTGCAACTAGTTCTTTCTAAGGTAACGCTTTAGTTAACCATGGATTTGTTTCCCGAGTAAATATAATTCTGTAAAAAGGTACAATAACAATTAACATTGAGAAGACATTAGATTCCAGTGACGGTGCTGCCTTGGAGGCGCGGAGTGATAAACTGCCAACTCTTGTCAAGCACCTGGATTTATTTAGGTGTCTTCGCGCTTCTTGCCACCTCCTGGCAAAGAGGTGGACGAGCTGATGAACCTCGATGCACCCGAGTCACTCACACATTTGTCTGCAGCTCTGCCATCCCCTGCAGTCTCTCTCGTAGGCATTTTATATTTTTTCTTCCTTTCCC